GCCTGACTAACAGAGAAGCCTGTAAATACGAGGAAGTTCAAAGCTGAAGACAAAAGGGTCATATCTCATAAGTTTCAGGTCTGGGTACTATTTTCATCACTGCTGTTTTAGCCAGTTGCTGCAAAAGTCTCAAGCTTTATTGCATGAATGCATGTCTGTTTTGTGCTGAAGCAACTGTGACAGAGACCTTGTATGACCAAATTTATACTATAGTGGGGTTTTTTTTGTTGTTTGCTTGTCTTTTTTCTACCTCAAAGGGTCTGCACAGATTATACTTTAATGCAGATAATTTCAGTGACCCATTCTACAGCATGTCTTTACAAACAGTAGTGTTGGCACAACTTGAATGAGCATTGGACTGCAGCATGGGGCAGAAGTAATAGATGGCATGGCATGGCATGGAATGACATGGAGGCGGAAAATGTGCTCATCTTGGATGAAAGGCATCTTTGTTAGAGTGGGTAGTTTGAGGGAAATAGACATGGAATGATATTGCAAATCTTTTGTATCTTTTTATATTATCACTCCCATAGTATCAACTGAAATTCCAAGTTTCTCTTCTACTTTGAAAATCAGAAACAAGATTGTAATTTTTAGGACTGTTAGTTAACAATATGTTTCAAGAATTCTGTTGAAATGAGAAGTGACTGCACATACACTTTGGAGGGGTTGATGATTTATTTTTTTGGTATATATTGTTTGTAAACCAGACCCATTGACTAGGCATTTGACATTTGCACATGTGTTTCTAAGAAATGCTTGTTTTGCAAGATAGTCCTTTATTTTGTGGGATTTTTATGTATCTCCTTGTGTTGGAGAGTAATTGTTGATTTGGTGTAAAATCAGTATTCTTTCTGTTACGCTAGTTCCTATGTCCCTTTTCCAAAATGCTTATAGCAGAGGAAGTGCTTACTTGCTTGATTAACCAAAGGTTTTTGCATTTCATCAGCTTGTGAAATTATATTTTTTTGAGTGGCTTTTTCCTTGATTTTTTTTATGAAAATGACCTGCTGACTTGAGTTCTTTTGCATGGTTAGCAACGTGAATGCGAATTTCTCTGCCACATAGTACACAGCTGAAAATTAAATTCCATGGCAGAAGTACTTACTTTACTCTATTAGTCACTGGCTGAGGTACTTGAGTGTAACCATGTCTAAGATGATTCACAGAATGCTTTAACATCTGATTAGCTCAGAGAAAATCAAATCTGATTCAGGGATTTATTCTTCCATGTTCTGAAATAATGTATTTTGTGATGGCATTTTACTGGGGTTTTTATGTGGTATGAAAGCAAAATAGTGCATAAGGCTAGAAGGGGGTGAGTGACAGTTGCCATCTGAAAGTTGTCAGAGCAAGTAAAGCCAGCCTTGCAAGCAGTACTTGGTCACCAAGTGACAACATCGAGTTGAAGGGTTTGTGTAGCTAGCAAAATAACATGTATATAAATACAAATGACCTGAACAATTTAATGTCAAGTTAATGAACTGAATATTTACGTTTTATTATCAAGTACAACACTTAATCATGCTGTGTACTTACAGCTAAGAATATTCCTGCTAAAATCTCCCAGTGCCATTTTGCTAGCAAGGTGCATTTCAGAGTGATTACATGAGTAAACATTGAATTTCTCTAACTACACAAGGGTTGTATTTCTGGGAGTTAATGTCAGTTTCTAGTGATCTCACATGGATGACATCAGGTGTTTTATGGGACTCTCTCATTTTGCTGTAACTATAGCTCTTTTAATACTGTGATGTGTTTGAGTGTTTTTTCATTAGATTATCTCATTTTGGTACCTTTGTAGCAAAAACCTGCTGCAGCTTCTCAAAAGCAGTTTTGTCTAAAATCATCAAAGCTACTTGCAAGCAACTCTCAACCCAGAAAAAGGCTTACGCCTTTTTGTGTTCTCATAGGATGCTGTATGTTCAGAAGTAGCTGGATGTGCTGCGTTCTGTAACTTTTCTTTGGCAATCCAGATTGATTTGTACAACTGTGTGTGTAAAATGTTACTTAGACAATTAAAAATAATCAGGATTTGATATTTTAAATATTAATGATGATACATACATGAGAACCCTTCAGATATAATCTGCTGGAAACCCCACTGGTTGAAGTATAACTTTTGTCTTAATACAGACTGAAGAATTTGTTACAAAGTGAGTTTTTGTTCAATGCCGATGTTGGAGAGTCTTCCCTGTTATTGTGGTTATTTATTTCTTATCAGAATTTTCCTTAGAAACAAACAAGGGAGTAAAACATGCTTAGATCTGTTCAGAAGATGTGTATTTGCATTAGGAGTGGCTGGTTTGGTTATCAAATTTCTAAGGGGAGGTAATCAGAGCTGTGTATCAAACCAGGAGGCAGGCAGAGGGGCAGGTCATATTATGATACCCGGAAGATGCTTTGTAGACTGGACAGTCCTGCCTCGGAGTAGGACCATGAATACAGTGTCCATGGGACAAGGGCTAGACTTCAGTGCTGTGTGCTGTTTGTAAAAATGTACAGTGCAGTTAATCCATTGGATGTACGGGTGTTTTAATTTCATAATGAACTGGAATAACAAAATAGCTACTTGTTTTTATGATGTTATTCAGGAATCCTAGAACAAAGTTGTAATAGATAGATTTTTAGTCCATTGTATAGTACAAGTAGTATGGGTTTAAATGGCAGAAAGGTTAATTTTATCACGTAAGAGCTCCTTGTGGAAGAAGAAGCAGAACATTATACCACAGCCTTCCATGAGGCTACATCCAGTCCTAGATGTTGGTTATGTAATTAGTCCAGTTAATTCGTAATATGTCTGATGTAATCTAATTCAAAAGGTGGTAAAGAATAGGTTGAAAGCAGAGCTGTCAGCAGTTATGTTTATAACTGTAAAATAAAAATGTCAGTGTTTTTTTCCAAGCCTGACTAGCTGCTGTCATTGGCTTTGCATAAACAGTGTTGCTGACTGTACTACTGAGGTAAGTATTTTTGTAGAGGATGAATTGTATTGTATTTTTTTGCAGCCTACCCAGAATCTACTTTCAGTATTTGATGGCAAATATCCACTGATTATGTATTTTTAATAAATACATTATAGAGTAATTTCTTGAGAAAGCCTGAGTGAAGGGTAGCAGTAAGCAAGCAGTAAAGAAAATTCTAAAATTTACTTGGCACCAAATGTCTGTGCCTTTGTTACATGTTAGCTGCGCTATTTTTGCATTTCATGATAGTAGAACAGGAAGTGATTAGCCACAAACATTCCCACACAAAGTGCAATTAAATTTCATTATCTTCTTGTATGGTGATTTAGAATATGCTTTTTTGTTGTGTCCTGAAACCCTGTGTGAATTCTGTTGTCGGAGGATGCTGTGGAGTACTGAGGGCCATGCACTAGCAGCCTTTTTCTTGCTCCGTTTGAACTGGCCCACCTATGCAGCATTACTCTGAGCAAGACCAAACCTATCATGTCTTCTAAACTCCTCCTTTGTTTCTGAAAATCAGAATAAGACTATGCCTTTCTGTGCTTAGATTACCGTGTGTTATGCTTTGTTTCCTCACTTGAGATGCTTACAACGGTGCTGAAATTAAGACATCATGTTCCTCGTGGAAGATAAATGCCAGAGACTGAAAAGAATTCAGCTGTATTGTATGTTCGGCTTCTACTTAATGTAATGAGTACAGAAGAAATACAGATGGAGCGGAACAGGGCTTTTCTGTCTCTGCCTGTATACTTAGACATTGGAGTTATAGTTATCTCTGGGGATGTGTTAAACAGTAGATGCCCTTTTCCTCCTCATGCGATTTCATGACCACTAGACCTTTCCTCATGATGGCCAACAAATCTCATTTTGGATTTGCAAAATGTGTCTTAGAGTTCACAAGCCACCTCGGTGTTTTGTGTAAAAGTATTTATAGTTTGATAGTTTTAATTAAAATGACATACCTAGAGTTACTGCTCTTTATTTGTCATCTCTGGAAAAGCACATTTTGTTCTTGTTCATGTAAAAAGATGTACTATTCCCTCTTGATTCCATGCCAAAAATGACACCGTTGTCTTAGGGCATTGTGTGCCAAAATGTATCATGAATCATTGCTGAGCTGCATGAGGTAAAGGAGAGGTGAGTGGCAGAGCGTGTCCTTGCTGGTTGCTGCTGGTTTTTCTCCCTTTACTTTGCACTGCTGTTATGTAAGATATTAAACACAGTTGCTGTCTGCTGATGATTTGGTTATATTAATAGATGTGATCACAGCTTGTTTTAGTTCACGTTTGCATATTGACTTGAACTATATCTTCTTTCAATGGCAGTATGCCAGACTTCATAGTGATGCTGCTGACTACAGACTTGTGACAGTACACATGCATGAAATAAGAAAGGGAACTTTCCTACTGACAGAGGCAAAAATAGTTGGTAGAGCTAGAAGAGAAGGCTGGTTGGTTAAGTCATGCCTTTGTAGTTTACATGTGCCCTATTTAACCAAAGAGAGAGGTGCGTGATTCTTGTACCCAAATCCTATCAGAAGTTAATGAGAGGGTGGTAGCAAATGCTTTGTTTGACATTTGAAAGTTGTCCAAGAATGCATTCTCAGTTATACACAGGAGGTTGGGGGGGGTTAGAGAATAGTCTAGGCAGTAGAGCGTGGAATATGCATTAGAAGTGACATTAAAAATGTCTGTAGTTCATAAGTATGTGGTGGAATTATTAAATGATAATTTTCTATAAATAAAAAAAGATGCTGACTGGACATCCCTTCCTTGTCGACAAAATAACATCTAGTTGCGTTTCAGCTATGCATCTTTCTTTCCCAGTTGTATGAGCATTGAGCTAATTAGATAACTTACACTTTGACTTATTGGGGGTAGTAAAAGATTTTTGCTAATTTCACATATTTTCCTCATAAAATAAACTTTGCTTTCAAGGCCTAATTTTACTTAGATTTTCAAAATGCTGCTGTGTAGTTCATGTTGTAGGTAGTCTTTTTTTGTTTCAGTACAGCCATTTCTTCTTTGGTGATAGGTTCTAGAAAGCTTTAAGATCATGGATTACAGTCTGCTACTGGGAATCCACATAATGAACAGTAACATAAAGGAAAAAGAGGGAGAGAGTTCCCAGAGCGCATCAGATGCAAAACGTCCTGGAGGGCAGAAAGTTCTCTATTCCACAGCCATGGAGTCTATACAGGGCCCTGGGAAGTCGGGCGACTCCGTCACCACAGAGACAACAAACACGTAAGTGCCAAAATCTGCTCTGAAGGTTACTGTTAAAAATTGCACATTCTGTTTTTTCAGTCTGTGCCACTTGGTATTAAGAGGCAAAACATTCAAGAGTACACTGCGTTTCAGGAATTTGAAGATTAAGCCTTCCCCCCAGGCCCCCCCCAAAAGCTGGACCATCAGGCTTTCCTGCAGAGCAGGAAATAAAAACCTTAATTAGTAGATTGATCGTATTTAAATACATGATAACAAATTTGGTTAGTTCAGAGTGACTTACGTATGCCCAAGAGTTTCCAGGTATAACCTGATTTTAACTGGAAGCAGCCTTATGAGCCATAAGCAAAAACTATTTTTAACATTGAAATGGCTATTCCTACAGTGGTTATTTTGATTTGAAAGTGGTATACTTTATACGTAGAACTGTATCATCAACCACTGAATTGCAGTCATATCCATGTACAATGTTTCCTGAAATTAAGAACTGCTACTTTCCTCTTATTTTTCTATCTAGCAAAAACTGCAGTAGAAATTTGAGTATATAGATGATAGTTATTCTGTTGTTTCCTTTGAAATATGTTCAGTGTTAGTGAAAGCATTACGTTCACTGTTCTCATTCTGTGTAACTAGTCCTTCATTACAATAAGAGTTTAATTTCAAGTTAAGGATTTACTCTGCTCCTGGTTCTCAAGGGAGTTGTCTAGGTAAATACAACTAATGATATAGAAACATGTGCTTAAACCTACAGCAAACCAATGGGAAATATTGATATTTAGCATTTATAGACAGTTTCCAGATGTTTGGAGCTCTAGAATATGAATAAAACAGCTGAATTTCACTCGTTTTTTACAGCGCTGCTCACATTCACACCAAAGATGGTGAATGCTCTTGTATGGCGCCAGGGCTGTTGCACTAGCAGTTTTGGGGGATGTTGGTTTTTGATTTTGTTGTTTAACTGAAAGCCAGAGCTGATTATGTAGGTCATCCAAGAAAGTCCCTGTTGTTATTATGCTTGGAAACCCACTCTGGACTCCCACATTGCTTGATCTGCTGTAGTGCTGCCCAGATCCTGAGCCGTGTAGTACTGCTGCTGAAAGTCTGCTGCAGCAGTGGACTCTTTTCTTGGCCCCTTGCACTATCTTACTGTCTTGTATTGGCGTAACTGGCAGTGTGGAAAACATCACTGAGATGGATGAAAAGAAGCCTAGTTCTTACAGAGAAGACCCCTAGGTCAGTCTCCTGCTGTGGTTCATTGTAGGACCGTACAAGCACGAGGATGAGAATGGATACTTGGCAGCAATAACTGCTGCTTGTACTGGACTGAATTTACAGGCATAGCTTCCAGGACAAGCTGAGAGAATATAGCTTTGTAAACCAATTAACACTTCTGAATGTCTGACCAGTTAATTGGCCCGGAGTTTATGGTAACAGAGTTTTACAGTAATTTAAACTCCAGTTGTTCTTACATGGTTTCCTTTGTACCTAGAATAATAAAAAACCTTCTCCCTCTCCCTGTCCCCATCCCCTCTGCCCCCAGACATAAATAAAAAAGGTTGAGTAGGTAGTTTTTGTCAGGGAAAGGGACTACTGTGCTTTAGTGGCAGAATGGGTAATATACTCTCAACTGTCTTTGGTAGCTGTTTCTGGTGTCTATTAATTGTTTCTTAAATTGTTAAAAAATATTTGGAGGTATTGCATGTGTTGCATCTTCAATCTCTTTTTCTTCTGGTTTTGTTCTGGGTCCATCAATATCAACAGAAGCTGACAAACTGAAAACCAGATTGGAGTTTATGGTTCTAAAAACAATAGACCTTTTTTTCTAGGTGGTGAAGTAGGAACACAGTGTCTTGGGATGAGCATCTTCACAGAATCACAGAATGGTAGGGGTTGGAAGGGACCTCTGTGGATCATCTAGTCCAACC